GAAAGAAACAAACAAATCAGGAGTGTCGGCAATGAAAAAGGGCAAAAGGAAAAGGGTCGCGAGTCCAGGGCTCTTTTCGTAGAAAAAGCCCAGCAGTAACTCATTAGCATAATAGGACACACCCAACAGCAGAAACTCATTAGCATATTAGGCCACACCCCTGAAAGCACAGCTCATTAGCACATTAGGATGCACCCCCACGTTACCAGAAGTGTGGTTATCCAGCCACACCCACCTTTTGCTTGTTATTCTGTTTACCTTGTTTGTTGTTGAAACCCAGGGCCTTTTTTTGTAGCAGGAACTCCTTTGCATGTTAGGCCACACACCCCTAATGTAGCCAGTCCTAATGAGTTCCTGCTGTTGGGTGTGGCCTATTATGCTAATGAGTTCCTGCTGGGCGTGGCCAACTTGGGAGCCAGCCGGAACTCCGTTCCTGTGCGTTCCTGCCCCAAAATAGCCCTGGTCGCGACCACAAGAGGCAGACAATGGCAAGCTGCCTCTGCTTCTCACTTGCCTTGAAGACCCCTATGGGGTGGCCAGAAGGCAACTGTGACTCCATGGCCCTTTACAAACAACAACAACATTCGGAAACAGAAAGAAAACGAGCATATTGATGCATCCCTAATGAGCAGTATCTCCGAGAAGCCGGAGGTATACAATTCTTAATATAGAACACACTTTGAGTCCAGTGGCACCTTGAAGACCAGCCAAGTTAAATTCTGGGTGAAAGCTTTTGTGTGCATCCACACGTCTTCAGATACATTGAAACAGACTTCCTCAATCCTTACATATAGGTAGAGAAGTGTGCATGCACGTGAAAGCTTATACCAAGAATTAAACTCTGTTTAACTAGTTTGTATCCCGCCCTTCCTGCCGTGGTGGGCTCGGGGCGGCTTACAGAATATACATATATATTGAAACAACAAAATATGATTAAAACACACACAAAAAATGAATTAAAACCACAACACGCAAAATTTTGGTAATAAGAAACATAAATATTAAATATTAAGAAAAAATGGTGTATCTATGTATATGTGTATGTATATATGTATTTTCAGAACAGAATCCATTCTTCAGTGAAACCCAATAAATTTAGAGGCGATCAGTGTTCCCTCTAAGCTGAGTTAGTGTGAGCTAGCTCACAGTTTTTTAGCCTCCGGCTCATACATTTTTGTCTTAGCTCAGGAAGGAGGGCTCCAGATCAGACTAATTTATGCAGCAGCCCAATTGCCCGCTCACAACTTTAATGCCAGTAGCTCACAAAGTAGAATTCTTGCTCACAGGACTCCACAGCTTAGAGGGAGCATTGGCTATGATATTGGAGAAGTTATTGTAGCAGTGTCAAAATGAGCTCCCCTCAAAGGCAATATGCTCTCTAGCACCTTCACAATAAATAATGATTTCCATTGAGTTTCCTATGGCAGGTCTTGAATGAAATGAAGCTAAATTACAAGCAAAAACAGGTGACAGGCCAGTGAATGCAAATGTGTGTCAGCAGTCAGCAGTGGCAGGACGCAACCAACGGTGGCTTTCCTTCACTTCGCTGCCAGTTAACACGATGCTTTTCACTTCTATTGACTGATCGTGAAGACACACGTCAATATTAGCTTTTACTCCCCTCCTACACTTTTCCACACAATTTAGCATGATTTCAGATCGAGACCAGCACTTTCAGATTTCAGCAGAGCAGGCAAGGAGGGGGGAAAAAAAGATTTCAGGAGAGGAAGGGAAGTTCTTGGCAAAGCATACAAAACAAAAAGTTGTGAATCTGAATAAACTGGGGATAAATCAAACCGTGCCTCAGGGTGGGTCCCTTGTATAAGGCTCCCATTGACTGACCTGGGTTGGGGAATTACCTCTCCCTGAGGAAGTGAGGACAACAAAATGGCCTCCACATAGTGACACTCAAGGGATTTCCTCGAGTCTCTATGGTAAATGTCTGTAGGTTTGGAAGGAAGTACCTGGGGAGGGCAGAGTTTGGAGAGGATGTGATGTCATTTGAGCTGTGGTGCTGGAGAAGGCTCCTGTGCATTCCTTGGACAGCAATGGTGACATAAGAACATAAGAGACGCCAATGTTGGATCAGGCCAAAGGCCCATCCAGTCCAACACTCTGTATCACACAGTGGCCAGAAATACCAGTGCCATCAGGAGGTCCACCAGTGGGGCCAGGACATTAGAAGCCCTCCCACTGTTGACCCCCCCCAAGCACCAACAGAGCATCACTTGCCCCAGAGCCCCTATCTATACCTTGTGGCTAATAGCCACTGATGGACCTCTGCTCCATATGCTTATCTAATTCCCTTTTGAACAAGCAAGTATTGGACAAGCAAGCAAGTATTGGAGTGCATAAAACCAGACATGTTACTGGAAGGAAAAATAATAAACCTGTGACTGACTTATTTCGGCCGTGTCGTGTGGAAGAACTCACTAGAAAAAGCGATTATGCTTGGATTGGTTAGCGGCAAAAGGAAACCGGGCCACCAAAGAACACAGTGGCTAGACACCATAAAAGTCGACACCAAGCATGAGCATGGAACGACTCAAAGAAACAGGACAAGATTGGAAAATGTGGAGAGAGCTGGCCCATAAAATCACCAGGAGTCAGACACGACTGAATGGATAACAACAATGACGTCACTTCCGGGGGACATCCTAGAACAGCCTGGGGCAGGGATCCTCAACCTTCTTGAGCCTGTGGGTACCTTTGGAATTCTGACACAGCGTGGTGGTCACAGTCACAAAAGGGCTCCTGCCGGAAGTGGATCCAGCCACAAAATGGCTACTGCAGCATACTTTCAGTCACACAGTGAACCTTCTTGTGCCGTGGTGGCAGCTGCTGCCAAAGCAATGTTTTCAAAAACCCGCAAGGCCGATTCAATCCCTGGGCAATCTTTGCTGGGCAAAAGCCCCACCTGGACCCACTGACTTTCTCAAAACACTTGCTGGGCACGAGGGATGGGGTTGGCAGGCACCATGTTGGGGACGTCTGGTCTAGACTATCATCTGGAGATGATCACATCACATCCTCTCCAACCTCTGCCCTTCAGGCACCACCCCCAATCTCCCGGCATTTGCCAAGACAATGTTGGGAACCGAACCCTTGCCCCTGAACTTACAGTTGCCTCAGAAGGAGAAAAGGGAGTCCTGGCCAGCCCGAGCCTTCTCCAGCTCCCAGGACATTTGCTTCCTTCAAGACTACTCCTTCCCTAGTTTGTCACCTCCTTTCTCTTTTCAGCAGAGCCCACACACTGCTGGCCATGTTCCTTTCCAGGAGCCCCCTGAAGGTCACAGAAGTCCAAGAGTACACCTTGGTCCCCTTGACCACCAGGTCAACACTTTCCAACCTGCAGAGATAATCACCAAGAAGGGAGCATGTCTAGGTTCCCTTAGCAAATGGGACAGTGTTGCCCGATCTGATTAATATAGCAGAGAGAGCGGGGCCAGGGGCACAGCTGGTTGGCCACTCTCTCTCTCTCTCAGCCTGCCAGGAGACATGAATGAAACATCTCCTTGGGCAGGAACCTGCTTGGAGGCAGCTCTTCCTTCCTGCCCCTGGTGGCCACTATTCTAGTGACAGTGTCCTCTTCGTCCCCACTCATGGGCTGGGTGTGTCTCACCCTTTTGCACCACGGTCACTTTTTCATACTGCACATCAACAACAGTCAGAGCTCTTTTTGTAGAAAAAGCCCAGCAGGAACTCATTAGCATAGTAGGCCACACCCAAAAGCAGGAACTCATTAGCATATTAGGCCACACCCCTGACAGCACAGCTCACTAGCATATTAGTCTGCACCCCCATGTTACCAGAAGTGTGGTCATCCAGCCACACCCTCCTTTTGCTTCTTATTCTGTTTACCTTGTTTGTTGTCAAAACCCAGGGCCTTTTTTTTGTAGCAGGGACTCCTTTACATGTTAGGCCACACACCCCTAATGTAGCCAATCCTAATGAGTTTCTGCTGTTGGGTGTGGCCTGTTATGCGAATAAGTTCCTGCTGGGCGTGGCCAACTCGGGAGTCAGCCGGAACTCCGTTCCTGTGCGTTCCTGCCCAAAAATAGCCCTGTTTGTCAACTTATCCATTTCAGTCAACCCACTGCAACCTTGGACATTCATTCATTCCACTGCAACCTTGGACATTCATTCATTCATTCATTTTTGCTTTTAGCATGCATGTCTAGAGCCATAGGTGTGGATTCCAACCAGTTACTTGGTGTGCAGAAACCATGACTTAGCCAGAAACGTCACTGCTCCCACAGGCATCATTGCATGTAGTCTAAAAATATTTATCTACGGAGAAAACCTCCCTCGAGCCTCCCAAAATGGTGCTCCAGAACAACTGTTAATTATTAGGTCCAGATGGGTAGCGGTGTTTGTCTGCAGCAGCAGAAATAAGCAAGAGTTCAGGAGCACCTGAAAGACTAACAAACCTTGTGGCAGGGGAGAAGCTTTTGTGAGGCCCTGCGCACCTGAAAGACTAACAAACCTTGTGGCAGGGGAGAAGCTTTTGTGAGTCCCTGCTCACTACCTGAAAAAAGTATATGAAGAAGTGAGCAGTGGCTCACAAAAGCTTATATCCTACCAAAATTTTTGTTAATCTTTCAGGTTCTAGAAGAAGAAGGAGAAGGAGAAGGAGAAGGAGAAGAAGAAGAAGACGAAGAAGAAGAGATTGAATTTATACCCCGCCGTTCATTACCAAAAGGAGTCTCAGAGCAGCTTACAAACTCCTTTCCCTTCCCCTCCCCACAACAGACACCCTGTAAGGTAGGTGGGGCTGAGAGAGCTCTTGACAGAAACTGCTCTTTTTCAAGGACAGCTCTTATCAGAACTGTGGCTTGCCCAAGGTCATCCAGCAGGTGCAAGTCGAGGTGTGGGGAATCAAACCTGGTTCTCCCAGATTAGAGTTTGAGCACTTAACCACTACACCAAACTGGCTCTACTGGACTCTTGCTCTTTTCTACTGTTGATCAGTAGCTTTGCCATGCAAAATAAATGCTTACCTCTTTCTTGGTGAACTCTGGCGGATGGTCGTTTTTGTCGTCAACGACGATGGTTGCCGTGGCGGTGCCAGTTAATCCCACATCCATGCCTCCCAGGTCTTTGGCTTCTATAATGAGCTCATATTTTGGATTTTCCATAGTCTGGAGAGAGAGAGAGAAGGAAGAAAAGTTATACTAATTTCATTCATTGGCCAACTGTATGCCACAGAAAATTGGACAGGATGGAATAAAAAAACCCCAGAACCTTATGTTACAAGGCAGCGTATAAATGATTTAAATAATTAAGAATTACTAAAATGCTTAAAAGTTGTGTTCCCTCCATAAAACCATCAGGCGAAGGATTTGCTGAACATTTTTCAGATCCTGCATAGCTGGGAAGGTAGAAAAAGCATCTACAGAACTAAGACAGGTCACCTCTGTTGGTTTTGTTTTGTTCCAGTGGCCTCTTCGATCCAAATTCACCCCAGAGCTTCAAATATGGTCAGCCTCCAGGTGATGTCTGGAGGCCTACCAAAAGTACAGTTGATCTTCAGAGTAGAGAGATTAGTTCCCCTGGAGGGAACAGGGAGGGATTTACTGGGAGTGGGGAGAATGTGTGATGTAATGACATCACACGGAAGTGACGTCATCACATTGGCCAACGTCGGACAGTGAAACACTGTTTACCATAGAGTTTTGACCAAAATACCAGAGTCACTTCCACGTGACAACATTATATCATGTTTGGGGGTGGTATACCCCCCCCACTGGACAGCTGGCATCCCTAT